CTGACTTTTAAAACCCAGCTAGCACATGGTATTTGAATTCTAATTTTAAAAACCCGACTTTTAAAACCCCGCTAGCACATGGTATTTGAATTCTAATTTAAAAAACCTGACTTTTAAAACCCAGCTAGCACATGGTATTTGAATTCTAATTTTAAAAACCCGTTTTAAAACCCAGCTAGCACATGGTATTTGAATTCTAATTTAAAAAACCTGACTTTTAAAACCCCGCTAGCACATGGTATTTGAATTCTAATTTAAAAAACCTGACTTTTAAAACCCCGCTAGCACATGGTATTTGAATTCTAATTTAAAAAACCTGACTTTTAAAACCCAGCTAGCACATGGTATTTGAATTCTAATTTTAAAAACCCGACTTTTAAAATCCCGCTAGCACATGGTATTTGAATTCTAATTTTAAAAACCCGACTTTTAAAACCCCGCTAGCACATGGTATTTGAATTCTAATTTAAAAAACCCGACTTTTAAAACCCAGCTAGCACATGGTATTTGAATTCTAATTTAAAAAACCCGACTTTTAAAACCCAGCTAGCACATGGTATTTGAATTCTAATTTAAAAAACCCGACTTTTTAAACCCCGCTAGCACATGGTATTTGAATTCTAATTTTAAAAACCCGACTTTTAAAACCCCGCTAGCACATGGTATTTGAATTCTAATTTAAAAAACCCGACTTTTAAAACCCAGCTAGCACATGGTATTTGAATTCTAATTTAAAAAACCCGACTTTTAAAACCCCGCTAGCACGTCCACTGAAACAACTAGGGCTGACCACAACACATTTTTAAGATTGTAAAAAAGATCTGTAGTATGCACAGGAAAACACAGATTTTCACGTACATTTTCAAGCAAAGTACTGGGCACTTATGAAGCTTACTCACAGATTTGTTTCTGAAAATTTTCAGGGGTGCTTAATATGGCAGAATGGAAGAAAATGATCAACATTTAAGCAAAATGTTTCTAAACATTTACGGAAGAGAATTGACATTGGGTAATAATGATGTTTTGGAAAGAGTGGTTGAAGCGTTCGCTCGTTACGCAAAGACCTTGGTTCGATTCCCCACATGGGTACAATGTGTGAAGCCCATTTCTGGTGTCCCACGCCGTGATATTGCTGGAATATTGCTAAAAGCGGCGTAAAACCAAACTCACTCACTTACTCACTCACTCACTCCACACCACCACACACGGCCCAAGATCGATCAGTTCGCCCTTTGTTGATAAGCCTGAAAATAGAAAAGCCTGATGCAGGGGTTGAAAATGACGACAGGAAACAGAAACATAATATATTTTGGGGCCTTATCGGGAATGACTGGAAAAAAATGTTCTAAAAATCTTTGGTTGGCGTTTCAGAAATTTAAAATTTAGAAAAATAGAAAAATGAGCATGATGTAGTAGATTCTGTTCCATATCACATATCTAGTGTTAAACAGGGCTTGACTATAGGCTTGAACTGTATTATAATACACTGAATAGTTTATATACCAAACTGAAGACATATACCAAGTAATTATGAATTTTACCCATAGAGGAAACTTGAAGGCAAGCCATGTTGCCCCATAATATGAATAATGGCTTCTCATGTAACCCTTTCAATATGACACTAACTTCAGTTGGCAATGTAGAATCCATGAAATACATAAATAAATGTACAGGTTACCATCAAATATTATATTGTGATAATATAACCCTAGAAAATAGGCGAACATGTGCATATTGATGATATAATACAGGTATTGCCAGCATATGTTAATAATACTATTAATAACCCTCGGACTAAACAGGCCACCTCAACTGAAGGAATAGTTCTATGTTAAGCCACTGTTCCCTTCACCAATCCATCTTATATTTGAATTGTCCAGTGCTCTGATAGAACCGATTGTGCTGCTGTGCGGCCAGAAACCTGTGATGATGGGTTCGTCAGCACCAGAGTGATAAAGGTCAAAGACCTGCGTTACCTTGACCTTCCCTCCCACATCAAGCTGACATGCTGTGATATAACTGGAATACTGTCCAAACGGCATTAGATCCAACTCGCTGTGAAAAAAGGTAGTCATTGACAAATAAAAAGGGTCCTGTCTTGATTTTCATTGGATTAAGTGTGTGGGAGGATTGTAATATGTATTGTTTTTGAATGAAAGAATTGCCTTTCTAATGACTTTTAAGGAGGATTCCTTTGTCTGTCTACTGAATTCAGGACAGTTTACTAGTAAGACGGGAAATCCAGTCCATTCTGCCAGAAGTCCAAGCCATCCATCATCTCCACTGCCCTTAGTGCTTGTGTGATGTCTGCATACTTTAGTGTTGACTGGTAGCTGCAAGAAATTGTATATGGTTGTATTTGACTTTTTATATTGTTTGCCTGTAATTGTTGTTTACTTATCCACTTATCCTATAAATAGGGCTTCAGAGGCGCAGTCAGGATGGTAAACAAGATTACCCACTATTCCATGAAATGTGATGACGTTACTCATTCGTAGCCATGCTCTGATGGCATTGATCTGCAATGGAAGCTTGTGCCTGTCAAGATGTTGACGTGTGATTGGTAGAGATACATTGGGTTAATATAGCTTCTCTGTATCTGAATCATTATTCAAATATTCAAATAACAACCGATAGAATATAATTGTCTGCGGTCCATTTGTTTTTTCAGGTTAATGATTTTTAGCATTTGATTATGCATGGTGCTACCCAATTTTGTTTTTTAAATTTTTTGTTTAAGTTATCTACTGGTAGGTAAATGAGTGATATTTCAATGTCTCACGTTCAGTTTTAAAAGAAATCATTACAAATTACAAGCAAGTCAATGAAATGAAATATTGACCTTTCTTTCATTTTAATTTTTGAAAATAAGTTTGCATTTTCAAGTTTTGTATATGGAGACGGGGGGAGGTTGTGTGTTGCACAGACATGGTAGATTCTTGTAATAGATGCTCCCTGATGTGGAACTGCCTGGGATTGCAAGCATGACTGCCTTGCTAGTGCTTGTCATTGTACATATATTTGTCAGTTCTTCAATTCTATTTTGATTGTGCTATATAGCCACATTGTTTGTCTTTGAAACAAATCTTGCACAATCCATTCAAGATGAAACTACCATTAATGTCGTGTTACACTGAACATCTTTCACGGTTGATGCACATCTGGTAAGTCAACCGAAGACAAGGATCATTCGTAATGATGTCAGGTCCGTGTGAGTTGTAAGATCACTTTCATGTCAGGGGTCAATGCAATGTCAAGGTCATTGTCAAATGTCGGTTTGATGTCATTGTCACTGCAATGATCTCCGAGGTCATGTTTTATCAGGTATTTGTTCGAGGTCATTTTGACGCCGTCAGTGGTCACTTCCTATTCTTGTAACCCTTGTGATACATCCTTCATATTTTTTCCCAAATGTTGCCATGGCAACACAGCACCAGCCATATTGAACCTGATTTATGCACATCCTTCTGCCTGGTATAATTCAATCACCATTGCTATTCAGGAGTGTTTTGCATAGTTTTTGATAGTAGTTTTACATGTTGTGAAATGTCCTTTAGATATATTACAAAATTGAAGTTTTACGAACAATTTTTAAGCTCCTTTCATCTTTATCAAAGCTCCATGCCACAGTCATTTGAGCGGCTTCATTCATCATGGTCTAATAAGTTATTAATTATTTTTTCAATACATTTTTTCTAACATTAAGACAATTTGTTGAATTAACTCGAGGCAAGTGAAATCATATTTAAATTTACTTCCACCACTTTTCATTCACAACACCATGTAAGACTCCCTGTGTTAATGATACATCTGCATTCTCTTTCAATGTACGTTTGTTACAGTATCATGTATCATGTATAAGCTGTTGTTTACTTTTGAAATTATTTCCGATTTATGATATCTTTTTATTTGTAATAAACTGTTTGCAGTTAAAATTGTACATGTTGTTTTTGTTATGTTTGTATGATGGTGGCGAAGTGGACGATGGTGGCGATGTGGTCGATGGTGGTGATGTGTTCGATGGCAATGTGGTTGATGATGGCGATATGGTGGATGGTGGTGTAATGTGGTGGATGGTGTGGATGTGGTTGATAGTGGTGATGTAGTCGATGGTCATCAGTCCGGACTAGTACAAGCAACCACACAGACACGTGCATGCATGTCGCAATCAAAGTGGAATAAGCTTGGACACAACGTTAAATCCTATTTCATCTCACCAATAATGAGAGCATCAGGGGAGACACGTCTGTCATATTAATCCACCATGTAGGCTGTGCGCCATCTTCCTGAGGCGAGGGTGTTCTGCCTAGTGCAACAGTATAACTCGCATTAGAAGGTTTCAATATGTATATTGCAACCTGGCGCATAATGGCGTACGTACAACCTTCTGCTCCAAAAGTACCATGACAAATGAAACTGGTATTATATATTCTGTATTATGTTTATGAGGTAAGAGGAGAAATCATGGAAACACGTCTAGCAGTGGACTCAAGACCGCCATTACTGGAATAAATCCCTGAATCCTGACTGAGAACCAGCCCCAAACACCAGAGTACAACACATTTATACAGCCATACCATAGAGATTAAAGTGAGTGAGTATGGCTTTACGCCGATTTTGGCAATATTCCAGCAATATCATGGCGGGGACACCAGAAATGGGCTTCACACATTGTACCCATGTCGGGAATCGAACCTGGGTCTTCGGCGTGACGAGCAAAGGCTTTAACCACTAGGCTACCCGACCGCCCCCCTGACTTGAATGAACTATAGCAATACTGATTCCTCAGGAACTCGTTATTGGTCTATAAATAAAAATATATATCCCCTACATATAAGTAGAATTTTCCATAAAGGAGGTATAGATTTATATTCACTGATCAATAACGAGTTCCAGTGACAGAATCCCGCCAGTGCAGCAAATTATTTTTGGCACGATTTGGCGCGAGATTAAAGATTATGCAGATAAAACAAACAACAACCATGATCAAAGTAACCAGATTGTTTTGAATGTCTTTATTATTCACATTTCTCCAACACTTCACACACGTTTCACACAAACCATTATCACATCTTCACTTCCTACATCACTAAGACAAGATATGCTGATGAAGCAGGGCACTTACTTTTGAGCAGTAGTGTACCCATGTACAGCATGAACTACATACTGGTAAGAATACAACTAGCCCTCATGATTTTCACTAGCGTCGGACCAACGGGCTAGTGGCAGTGACCAACCATACCTTAATGTTTGTTCTTACTTGTTACTTAACGATGTGAGAATTGGCAGGGATGAGGATACAGTTTCACCTGATGAAATAACGGGCCTGAGCCTGATCTCACTAACAGCATACAAGACTTACAATGAAGAATGCTCTAGGCTTATCTATTTTTGGAGATGCGATGATGGTTATACTTCTTGTAGAGGAAGCTGATTCGTTTCTGTATCTGAAGGTACTTGGTTGGGTAATATGCCTTCAACCTGTTACCCTGGAAACGGATCCGCCGCACCAGACGCTGAAGTTCGTTGCCATTGAAGCCGATAAGCCATTCAGGACCTCGCATCAGATCCACAGGGTGAACGTTCCCACTACCAAGAATATCTGCAAGTCAAATCACAGGATTAGGCCACCATTATTCTGTGTGCTTCTCACTTCCTGACAGTCTTATATTACCATGGTTATATGGTCCTCAAGTTTAAAAATATCCTTTTCACATTCACCATTTTTCCCAATAAAATGTATATACCATCCCACACATATCTCTTGCTTCATTAATTCATGTCAATATCTTGTAGGGAGATCTGAAAAAGGACTATTCACGTAACCCAATACAGCAACCTTGCACAACAAATACTGGAAAATAAGAAAGAACATCTTCCTGAGGCCAGGGAGTTAACAGACTGTAAAAGTCCAGTTTCCATCCTTGCTGAACTAGGCTGGAATTTCTTGGCTCGATTGTAGCACCACCAGTGGCTATTACGAGTTATGTCCCTTCTATGTCCCTCCTATTGACCAATCAGATTCCACGTCTCACATCACTTGCATTTACTTCAAGCAAAGTCAGGACGACCTGATCAATAATCAAGATCTACATTGTAATAAAACGGATCTTACTTCGCAAAGTGCATGAAATCCTTTGAGCACCTTGATTAAAAACATGAAAAGATTTGGAAAATATCTGTTGACACCGAGTTGGCCATACATATTCTTTGCAAATCCTGCAATCGACCGAAATCAGCACGACATTTTATGAACCGGATGTCATTTCGTCACATCATTTCGTCATTTCGATTTTGACTGGACTTTGCACATAGACTTGTTAGTCCAAACATAACTCCATAATTCCAGCCTAGTTTGGCAAGGGTGGAAACTGGACATTTATAGTGAGTTAAATCCCTTGCCCCAAGAAGATGATGAAAGTAATGTGTGACCAACTTGGAAGTGAGTGTCAAGCCCTGGTCTAAACTGTTTGCGAGTATCCCTGCCCTTGAACTATAAAAACTAATCAGCAAACAATAACACCAAGACTGCAGACTCAGCATTCCATGATATAGTATGGGGCAATCAGCACGATCAGAGAGTGCAGTTCCAGGAGTTCAAAAACAAATGTAAATGCAATATAAAGGTGTTGAAGTTGGACCAGTATTGTACTGCTACAGAAAATATCTTGACCACAAAAGTGTCAGCCAAACTAAACAAGGGCATTTTGATATATCTTTGCGAGGTGAGTGAGTGAGTATGGTTTTATGCCGCTTTTAGCAATATTCCAGCAGTATCACGGTGGGGGACACCACAATATCGCGATGGGGGACACCAGCAATGGGCTTCACACATTGTACCCATGTCGGGAATCCAACCCAGGTCTTTGGCGGGACAAGCGAACGCTTTAACCACTAGGCTACCCGACCACCCCCTTTGCGAGGTGATGTACATTCATAATTTTATGATATCTGAGTTAGTGAGTTGGGTTTTACAGCGCTTTTAGCAATATTCCAGCAATATCACGGCAGGGGACACCAGAAATGGGCTTCACACATTTTGCCCATGTAGGGAACTGAACCCGGGTCTTCATCGTGACGAGCAAACGCTTTAACCACTGGGCTACCCCACCGCCCCTCATGATATCTGAAATGAAAGTAATGTCATGGTGGTCCTCAAGTTAATACACTGTTCTGTACACAAAGATTTGGAATGATGTTGGATAATGAATAAAACCTCACCCCTTGTCTTTTGATATCAAATACATCAACACACATCAATAAAAGTAGAAGTCCTCCTCGGCAAGCCTCAGAGCTGTGCTACTATAATCAATATTGATATACATGATATATGTGGTATCAAAAGGTACTAGGGTGAAGCTCTCACTGTTGGTCTCACCAATGTAATCATTTTGTCCAAACAATGCTTTCTTTGTACTCCAATTGTCAGGCTGCTTGTATGTTGGTATTGGCAGAGGTTTTCTTCCATGTCTTGGCAGGACTCCTGTAACAGCAAAAACAAATAAACAAACTGACTTACAGTTACACTACAGAAATGATTCAATGAGTCCGTAGAGGATTCAACATGTTCAAGTTTGGGCCGTTTATTGTACATGTTGAAAGCGGGTGTCCATATCAACTTATTACCATCATCATTGACAAATATTTGCAACTGTGAGTTATTATAATTTATGCACTGTTTAACCTTTTCAGACATTTGATAGTAGTGCCATTGCTCTGTAGCTCACCTGGATATGTAGCCAACAGGTTAAAACGGCCATAAGTAGCTATTACAATATGGCTGCCAAGGGGGCCATATTGAACATCAGATACAAAAGTCTTCACCAAATTTACCTGCATTTATTTATTCTTGTTTATGACTGATGCACAGGCAAATATTTATGGTAAAGAAAAGAGTTCACGCCATTTTTATAAAAATTAGCTACTCTTTTTGAAGTTGGAGCTTTTTATTGTTGCCATTTTCCGGTGTATTCCTGTCCAACCCCATCACGGCTCTCAGATTCATTTGGATCATCTTCCTGTATCAGGGGGTATTTTTTGGTATATTTTTTATCTTTATGACTTAAAGACAACAAGATGACATCTCTGGATTAGCCTCTCTTGCCATGCTCTTGCAGACTCCAGGGCATATATCATGTATACTTACTATGCTGGTCACCTTGTTTCAATTCTCACCCCCTTCTCAGCTGTATCAGCCTATACCCTAGCCGAGAGCGACGATGGTGTTAACACGTTGAACTCGGTGACCGTTAAAACATAATGTAAATGGTTGCCCAAGATGATTTTACCCAAAGGTGTGGTAATGAAATAATGACAGTTGTATCAATGGGAAAATTTATAAGGTAGTATGTGCAGAGATATCCACTTTTCAGTCATGAACCCACATGACATATTTCTTAAAAATCCCAAGACAATATGAGGGGTAATCGGCCAAGTAGGTCATGTCTTGACTGTTGGACCACCTAATATATATTCATTCTCAGACCAATGTCATAGCCTTGAGGGCTTCTTAATACTAGAGGTTCCTTTGTACAATTAGCAGCATTTGACTGGGAGAAGTGTACTTTACCAGGCACTTTTTCGGGTTTCAATGAGAGCTGGATGGGAGATCAAACTCACAAAGCCAGCTTGTAGCTAAGCTAGGCTAATGAGTTCATCACATCACCATCAGCCAACATGTCACCATGGGACCATGTGCGCTATCACAAATAACAAGTGATGTTTACAAAGTCATCAGCACCCGGTTGTTTACTCCTATTTTCTCAAAACTTCATGCCAGTTGTTCAGAGTTTCCTCAAACTACACTGGATTAATTCGTTAAAAGTGATATCAAACCCATACCTTATCCAACAACTAACCCTAAGGATCGTTAAGGGGTGTTTGATCGGACAGGGGTACAAACCCCAAAGATTATTAAGGATGCTTGATTGGAAAGGGTGAGGTGAGGTGAGGTGAAATGGGGTTAAAAAATGTGTTCAAGATTATTGCACTTATATAGTGATGTGCATGCATATCTATGTGTGTGGCTGCTTGTACTAGTACAACTAATGCCAATTTTATTGCGCTAGCCCACTGAGATACCATGCCTGTTTAAGAGGAATACCCCACTCAGACACAGTATACCGACTCCGAGACAACCAGTCCTTGTTTTAGCCCCTTAATGCCGAGCACCCGGCAGGGTAACAACAAGTCCAATATTTTAACATCTTTAGGTATGAAGCGACCGTGGATCGAAACCTGACCATCCACTCTCCGGGCAGACACTCTATACACTTGACCACAGAGGCAGTCGATCAGAAAAGGGATCCAACTCCAAGGGCAAAGGATCGAGTTTGGGGTAACTTACTCTAACCAGCTGACCCTAACCATGCTTACATAACTAACTCTGACGATTGAAAAGTGAAATCTGTGAAGCATTTAGTGAGTGAGTGAGGTTTTACGCCGCTTTTAGCAATATCCCAGCAATATCACGATGGGGGACACCAGAAATGGGCTTCACACATTGTACCCATGTGGGGATAAACCCGGGTCATCGGCGTGACGAGCAAACGCTTTAACCACTAGGCTATCCGACCGCCCTTGTGAAGCAATTAAGAAATAGCCTACGTATTCCACAGTCTTGGCCGTGATGTAGGGTAATGCCTTGACTGTTGGACACCATCGCGGCTCTTGGCTACAAGAATTGCAGCCTGAGCCAAATAGCACTATCCTAGCTACGTTCGCTAAACTTGATTGTATTCTTTTTAATTAACGGTATAGATTATATCAGGGACTATGTGCAAGTCTACCGCTATTCATAATAGCGAAGCAAAGAATTCAAGAAAATCGAATAGTCTTAAAAAAAGTAAAACGTAGAATTAAGAGTCTAACCTCCTGCAAACATTTTCGGAACATATCCGTATCTTCTAGGCCCCGGGTTTTTGTACGGCGATGGTGGGGCGTAATCTGTAGTCTGTGGAGAGTCGGACGACGCCCATCTGGACTGAGTGACTACAGATGAAACAGGCAGGAGCTGATGTGCTTCCGAAGATCCCAGTACAGGCCGATTTGCCGACACCGCCAGTAACTTGCTATGCTGAACACATGCCTTGGCATAAACGTTTGCGACTGAGCCAAGCTTAGAGAATTGTCTCCAGAAAGATGCCATGATTGTTACAGTACTGGTAACGTTAGTTAGGTTCTTTTTACATCACTGACACTGGTGTTAATCATGTAAACGGCACCAGCTTATATCAACAGAACATTCCTCCCACGGGCGCAGACATATGTTATTAGGACTTCTGGGTAATGAAAACACGAACGAAACTGGTTCCACTGTTGGTACGCGACGCAAGCTTAGCGCGATTTACTAGTTTATGTAGACAGGAACCCAGTCTATAAGTTAGCGTAAACTCACCAAGTTTGGAAAATAAAATTGTTGCTGTTTTTTCGAATATTGGAATTAGACAAAATGCAAACAGTGGATGATAGACGAGAATGGCCCACACATAGACAAAATGTCAGAGCCGGAGTAAGATAAATCCGTGTTGAATGGACTTAATCAATGAGTGAGCGAGTTAAAAATTTATCGTCGCATAGGCATTATTTTAGCCATATAGCGAACGTGAGGTGAAGTGTAGGTTGATATGGGAAGAGGTCAAAAGGGCCACAGGTCCTAGTCTAAACGGCCACTCCAAAAAGCCAAAACGTCACACTAAAAAGTCAAAATGGCCACATGAGAAGGGGGGGGGGGGGGGGTATTTGTACAAGTATCACTCGTCCCCAACTTTATTCACTTGATTCAAATAAAACTGTTGGTAAGATGTGTGAAGCCCATTTCTGGTGTTCCCTGCCTTGAAATTGCTGGAATAATGCTAAAAGGGGCGTAAAGACATAATCACTTACTTTGTATTGTGTGGCTTTTGACTATATATATACAGTGTGGTTGTTTTGACTAGGGGTTTGTTGTCCTTTTTTATGCGTGGTTCTTTGGACTACAATCCGGGGATATGGTAAGGTGCTCTCATCAGTCATCACATGCTTCCAAATATTACTTTCCCTCCCTCGATTTTTTATATGTATTCTTTCTTAACCAATTGAGTACATGTTAACGTGAAAAGTGTCGTTATATACAAAACTCCCAGCCAACAAGAGTGTGGCACGTTTAGGAGACTAGCATTTTAGCATCGAAATAGTTAAATAAACGGGTTTGAAATCTTAGTATCTCTTTGTTAACGTCAGCACAAAACAACGTGAAAAGAGTCGCTCAAAACCACTTCTTCAAAACTATATAGCTTCCCTTTAACACGAGGGGCTCTCTATACAAAAAAAACCTATCGGAATAGCCTAAAACATTGTGGCACGTTTGGGAGACTAACATTTTAGCATCGAAATAGCTAAATAAACGAGTTTGAAACATTATTATCCTCTTCCTCAACCATTTGAGTACACTGTAATGAAAACACATCCCTCTCTCCCTGACGTTTTAGTACTTGAAGACATACCCCCACACACCAGCGTAGATGTACGCCATGGGACTTGGAGACACACACTTACCCCTCCCCCTCGCCACCTTGCCCCACGTGTAGATGTACGTCATGGGACTTGGAGAGACACACACCTCTCCCCCTCGCCACGTTGTCCCTAGTGTAGAGGTATGAGGGGTGTTCATTAAAGATTTCCCCTGACCCACTTCCGATGGACCTAGTGGAATGAAACTTGGCATAGGTATTAGTCTTTCTCCACATAGGAACCACCAAGAGTTACACATTTCTCCCATCGTTTTATGCAACTATGGAGACCTCGCTTGTAAAAGCACTCATTTTGCGTCTCAAACCAGGACTTGACTTCAGTAATCAGTGTTTCATCATCTGTGAAACGTTTTCCCTTCAAAAATGACTTCATGGTTGGAAAGAGGTGGAAGTCAGATGGTGCAAGGTCAGGAGAGTAAGGAAGTTGTAGAAGGATTTCATAGCCACAGGACCGCGCTTCTGTCTGGACAACATGAGAGTTGTGTACTGGAGCATTGTCTTGCAGGAGACGGACACCCTTGGTCAGCATGCCACGCCTCTTAAGCTTGATAGCGTCCCGCAATTTCCGCAGCAGTGAAGCATAATAAGCTCCTGTAATTGTGGTATCCTTTGCCAAGAAATCCATCATCACTACTCCGTGCTGGTCCCAAAACACCGTGAGCATGACCTTGCCTGCAGCGGGTTGGACACGTGCCTTCTTTGGGGGTGGTGACTCCACATGCTTCCATTGCATCGACTGAACTTTAGTCTCAGGATCATAATGATGGACCCTAGTTTCATCCTGTGTGATAAGTCTGTCAAAAAAGTTTGCCTGGTTTTTTTTGCACATGCTCTTTGAGCAATTGACTCGTTCCTGCTTTTGGAAAGGTGTGAGCAACCTGGGAATCCATCGTGCAGACACCTTATGGATGTTCAACTTGTCATGGAAGATTTTTTCCACAGACCCTACACTAATCTTGACATCTTGTGCTAACTGGCGAACAGTTATACGTCGGTCTGCCAAAATGGCGGTCTCCACTTGATGGATAGTGTCCTCATCAATGGCTAAATGGGGGCGACCAGGAATGGCAGCTGTTTTCACAGATGTCCGACCACACTTGAACTGGCGATGCCAGTGTTTAACAACGTCATATGATGGGGCATCTTTCCCATAAGTTGCTTTCATTTCATCGAAAGTTTCTGTTGGTGTGCGACCTTTCAAATATAAGAATCTAATCACTGCTCGGTATTCTACTGGCTCCATTGTCACACCCTACTCGATCATAGCACCTGTAAAAGTGGTAAGAGTAATAGTTCGGTGCTGCAAATTCAGACATAACCCATAGATACATGTATCATTACACATGTGAAATTTCAACCAAATATGATAACCCTAGGTGGTTTAGGGGAAATCCTTAATGAACACCCCTCGTACGTCATGGGACTTGGAGACACACACCCCTCCTCCTCGCCACGGTGCCCCACGTGTATATGTACGTCATGGGACCTGGACACACACACACCCCACACACCAAATGATATTCACACCCGTGTGTCCATAATAGACCGCTCTCTGAGATGCTGTTTAGTTTTATACATAATGTATATGTATGAATTAATCGGCACTTGATAAATTAATCAATATGTACCTAAGAGTAAGGCAATAACCAAATCCCGTGGTTGTTTACCTCTATGATAAATAATAAATAAGTAATTAATACCATTAACGGTTTCTTAGTTTGATACAATGCCGTTTACACACCCAACCACTAGCCTGTTTTTTTTGGGCGGTCTGTAAATAATCGAGTCTGGACCAGACAATCCAGTGATTGATATCATGAGCATCGATCCATGCAATTGGGATCGATGACATGCATCAACCAAGTCAGCGAGCCTCACCAACCGATCCCGTTAGTCGCCTGCCGTGATTTTGCTGGAATATTGCTAAAAGCGGCGTAAAATCAAACTCCCTCACTCACTCTAAATCTGCACGAATGAATATACTATTGTATAACATTGTTTCAAACACAACCGCTATATTTACTTTACACAAAGCTTCAACTTCAACTGAGGGGCACGGGTGGCCCAGTCGTTTCAGGCGCCGCCATTCGCTGTGCAGAGTTGCGTCCCTTGGCTACGCCAGAAACCTATGATTGTGGGTTCGAATCCCGGTTCGCCCCCATTATGTTTCTAGGTTTGTCAGCACCACACCTGTGTTCGCGGGTTTCACCGAAGTGGTAAACGTCTGAGACCTGCCTCACTTCGGGCTTTCCTCCCACATTAACCTGACACACCGCGATATAACTGGAATACTGTTAAAACCCAACACAATCACTCACTTCAACTTCAAAGAGAAAATTTGTTTTAAATCCTAACGATTTGCACAAAACATTATGTCCTAATAAGGATACACATGCATGTCAAAGTTCATCTTCCACAGTCAGAGGAGATGTTTTACACAGAAAAAAACTGCAATTGGGGAAATTTTAAGAGCATTTAAGTACGTTTGAGCTAAAATAATTTTAGTTGATGGCCATTTATCATCCAAAACTGGCTCCCACAGGAAATATTGCTTGGATTAGATCAAGCGATATCTACACTGTAGATATCGCTGCAATGAAATTACATCACAATGCTTTGCAGACCATTGTGACGTCACTGGTTGCCATGACGTCACAATCAAATGACATCACTAATGGCTCTGCTACTGAAGCTGTTAGCAGTACTTTTTACACTGAAGACACTGCTAATTACTGTCTACAAATTGAAAAAGTTGGAAGAATGATGTTGGATGATAAATAAAATCTCACCCTCGTGACTTTTGATATCAAATATATCAACACTCGTTGATAAAAGTGGCAAAAATCCTCGGCAAGCCTCGGAATCTTTCCACTTTTATCAACTCGTGTTGATATATTCGATATCCAAAGACATTCGGGTAAGATTCTCTATATAAAGCTTTATGTTAGTGTAGCTGCCGTTGCGGCCATATTGTAAAAAATCGCATTGGAACAACTTGAACACCTTCATGTGCTATCACTGGTGGAAACAAGCATGGACGTTTTGGCTTCATTGGCGCAGTAGTTTATGAGGAGATACTGTTAAGAGTGCGAGGAAATGAGAATTTAGAGCATCATAGAATTAAAAGACAAAGGTAAAAAAGTTAAAAATATCGCGAAAAACGTAACATATGTTTTGAGTCCCACTGCAATATCTTCGTGCTCTGTTATGCCTTTCAACTGTATTGCGTGTGAACAATTTCTTGATCAATATTAAAAAATGGTTTGATAGTTTTACTGAGTCAAGCAGTGACGGCACGCAGGAAGGAACTTTTGTCGTTCTTTAATGCATTATGTATAATTTGAAGGATCTATAAAGGGCATACGTTAATGTAACGTTATTATTCATGTTACGGACAAAAGGCTCCTAGCAAGGGATATGTCTCGCAGGGTTTGTCTCCTTTACATTCTTCGCCATTCTGCTTGTAAGAGTGAGTGAGTATGGTTTTACGCCGCTTTTAGCAATATTCCAGCAATATCACGGCGGGGGACACCACAAATGGGCTTCACACATTGTACCCATGTCGGGAATGGAACCCGGATCTTCGGCGTGACGAGCGAACGCTTTAACCGCTAGGCTACCCGACCGCGCCTCTGCTTGTAAGGCCTGCCCAAGCTGTTCCAAATTCTGGAAACCCTAAGGTCGGTTGCGAATCTTTCGGCCCAGAACATACTAAAGGTGTTCCATTGGTCATATGTCTGGGAACTTGTCTTAATAGGATAATGTGACACCTTGCTGTC